TGAAACCAGCCGAGAGAGAGAGAGAGCTTGAAATGCGATCGATTTTTTTCTTCCTTTCTCTCTCCCTCCTGTGCTTTTGTGTCAGAAGTCTTACATTAATGAATGGGCCCCTGTATCATCGATCAGTCCCACTCACACTGTGCCCTGGTTTAAATGCTGGGATCGAGGGGGCTGCCAAACTGAAACTGCCTCTAATGGGCTTCACGATCAACAACAGGAATGAGAATTACATCAGCGCCCTGGAGAAAAAGCAGCAAAAAATAACTAGTTGCCAGAACTTCCTAATTCCTCGGTGTTAAATGTTCCTAGTACATGGCAGTGCACAGAAATTGTCGTGCTTTTCTGCGTTAACGTTCGCAATACATACAGTATATACACAAGCACAACATACAGCAAACTCCTGATAACTCTTCATTCCAAGGAGAAAGGACTCAGTGACGAGTTATCAGGAGTAGCAAGTTAGGCATACACACACTTCAATACAAACTAGCAGACCCCAATGCAGGAATCAGCGTTCACCTGCAAAACCCACACTTTACACCAAAATCCTGTCAAGTGGTTCGAGGCTCCTTCTGGTGTGAAAAGTGCTGTATCAAATCCAATGATTATTATTATTATTATTATTATCATCATCATCATCATCATCATCTCTGGAACTTCTTGCCTCAGTCCTTCTGCCTTTCCTTCTCCTTCCTGTCTTCAGATTGCACCTGAAGACCTATCTCTTTGACCGTGCCTCTGCTCACCTTCCCTCTCACACCGACTTGGCATTAAGCTCCATCCACTGTTAAGCGCCGTGAGCTGCTACCCCACAGGAAGGGCGCGATGTAAATACAAGTCGTTATTCAGCTAAAACCCTCCTTGATACATCACCAATGTGACAAAGTTCAGGCCAAGCGTTGCCCCGCACAGAGGCGAACGCCTTTGCTGAACAGTCAAACCTCATGTGGGTTCACGCAGAGATCAGGAGAAAAATCCCACCTGCGTGGCAATCTCAATGATAAGTTTGGTCTGTTCTCAGCAAGCCGACAAGATGAATGCCTTGTGTTGAGGAAACCTACAACACATCCATCCTAACTTTTAGCTGCTAAGTTGAGAGTGCAGTTCTATAAGGGAGAGGTTTGCTGTCTGATTTTCGCACTTGAATCAAAAAGCACGACACAGTGTTGAGTAATAACACAAAGGGGAACAGACAGAACAGCTGTAGATATCAGGGAGGTCAGTGTAGGCCATGTTACACATTTAGCACCATATTCACAGTGCTTAAGCTAGGTCGGAATGAAGAGCAAAGAAGACTTCTGGAAACTCAATTTGCTCACAAAAGCCCATGGAGGAACAGCTAATCTCTTTGTCGCGTGTTATTCTGCTGGGATTCATTCCTTTTCACAGAACAACGCAAATTCACTTGGTGCAGGGGAGTACCAATCGATAGAGAGAAGGCATTTGCTTGGACTCCTTGGGGACAGAGGTGTCTTTGGCTAACATTCTGGTCTTTGCTGCACCAGATTGGACCTGCCACGTAACTGCAGCTCCGCAACGTAAAGTGCTGCCAATTCTGCTCCTTAACTGGATATCCGCATCCGCAGATAGTGCTGCCCTTTCTGTCTTTCCCATTGCCACGCATTTGGGAGCGCTGCATAGGATTTCAGGTGGGATTGAAAGAGAGGTAAAAGGGATAAATTGAGGCGAAAGGACTGAGGCAAGGAACATGATAATAACGATAATAATCCTTACGTTTGATATAGCTGGCGCCTTATCATGTCGTTAACACACCTTAAAGTGCTTCACAGAATATATTGTAAACTTGTGTATTTTGTGGACAAAATGCAGCAGCCAATTGCGCATAACAGTGTCCCACAAAGGAGGATAATAACAGTAGAGGTCATGCAAGACGTGAAATCGAACCTCTCGCAGTTCCAGCTTTTGATGGATTATTTTGAAGGACGGGGATTACTAAAACAGATTTCTGAAACAGTACTTTAGGAACCTAATAAACAACAGAACAACAGAGGAGCATACTCTAACCTAATGGCCTTGTACAATAAAAGATTCTCAGGCATTTATCTGGAAACATTTCAGTTATTATGTACAAATCTGGCCACCAAATGAAATCTTGCTGAAGCTTGAGATAACTCCTCAGACAGAGCTCAAGCTTATTCTTTGCAGATTTTCCCCGGTTGCATTGTTTGGCCAAATTTAATCAGAGATCTTCCATTTATTTACAACGCCAACGAGTGATTATTTAATTATTTAATTATTATTATTACGAGTGATAATGCGCTACATCAAATGCAAGATGTTGTTATTCTCATTAATTGAGTTCCTCAAAGCCACCTTCAGATACAGCACCGATTTGCTCAAGCAATTCTTTTCTCTCGAAAGCGAGTGTGATTTTCTCTCTGTTCCATCCGCAAGAAAAACTAGCGTGTTTACGGTTTGACGGTTAATATTTAATAATTAATAATAACTAATAATTTCATGTCAGGCCGACGTTTCAAACCACTTGACGGGTTCACTGTGAAGCGTAGTGACAGTGTGTTTGGAGGCGAACACGGCAGCCAATTTGCGAGCAGAACAGTCCCCACAAGCGAACGAACCATTTTGATGTAATCGGTGGCCTGCACCCGCTTGTGAAGTTGGGACATCTCAACGCGCTTCAAGGAGATGAGGCGGGAGCGGGAGCCTGAGCAGGGTGGGAAGAAAAATATACACAGTCAATTCACTTTACAGTGCATTCTGTGAAGCGCTTTGAGACGTCTCGAAGACGTGATGAGGCGCTGTATCAAATGTAAGGATTATATACATGAGGGCAGAAAACCGAGGGCACAGTTATAGCTGCAGGAGGTATACGAGTAAAACAAGAAGAGAATTTCACTGGATTTAAACTGAGAGCACAGTGTAAGATCTTGATTATTTAAGATCATTTCTGGTTGCACAGTTAATTCAACAGTACTCTCTGGAGACTCTGAGTTTGAAGGAAGCCCAATAAGCCAAAGCTAATGCCGTAGAAAACAACTTGCGCTTACAGTGGAAACGTTCACTATTACATCCTTTCGTTGTGAGACAAACAAAAGATTGCTGCACAGATTTGAGGTGAGCTGCACTGCTCCACTCTTCAAATGAAGTAAGTCTCTGTATCTTGTACAGCGTGGAGTCCTGTAGCTCAGTGGTTAGAGCACTCGCCTCACAAGTGAGAGACCTGGGTTCGATTCCCGGGCCGGGCGAAACCTTGGGCAAGTTTTCTCACTCCACACGCCTCTGTTTACCTGGCAGTAAGTAGGAACCCGGTTGTTAGTCGATTGGTGGATCACTTTTCCGGGGTTAATAATTGCTTCAAAATAAAAATAATTGGGTCACTCAATCCACGACTGTTTGTGGGACACTGCTGTGTGCAATTACCTGCCCACAAAGTATACAGTATATTTTCTGAAGCGCTTTGAGGCTTCCCGAAGGCATGATAAGGCACTATATCAAATGCAAGGATTATTATTCTTATGATCTTCTTGGTCTTATTATTGGTCTTTAATCCAATGTTTGTGTATTTGATAGAAGTTCTAAAATGGCCAGGTGGAAAACAACAACAACTTGCATTTACATAGCACCTTTTACAGCACAGGATAATGTCTTTCAGCACTTCATACTGACAGGGTCAGTCTCCAAACCCATCGTCTCCTCCCCCACCCTCCCACCCACCCACTCATGCACGTGTGTGTGTGTTTCCTGACAGTCCAGATGAAACTCATGTCAAACCACCTCTAAGTGACCACACGCACACAGCACCAAAGGGCAACACAGCAGAGCACCAACTCATTGCTAACAAGTATGCAATGCCATTGAGAGGGGCAGTAAGGAGGGTGGGTGCCACGAGAGGGAACCCAGGCAGGGGAATTACCCGTTGCATGGCGTTGCCAAAATAATACACGAGCCGTGAAGTTGCCCCAAGTGTCTTTCATGTTAGATAAATGTCACATCCAGGCATGGGTCTTCATTGAGTTTTTCTTGGAGGAATAAATAAGACATTTCTTTTGTAGCTGCGAAAAGGTCAGCAAAACAATAATGAAGCTGGTTTACCGCTCAGTGCACTCATTCTGCGGGTAATAATCTTTTCGAAAATATTAATAATAATGCGGTCACTCAATCCACGACTGTTTGTGGGACACCGCTGTGCGCAATTGGCTGCCACCTTTCGCCCACAAAACATACAGTCAATTCACTTGACAGTATATTCTGTGAAGCGCTTTGAGACGTCTAGAAGACGTGATAAGGAGCTATATCAAATGCAAGGATTATTATTATTATTCATGGCCAAATGAGTGCGGTTGCTAGAGAGATGCTCAGCACCGACCTTTATGTGTAAAGTGGGGGTTGTGTTCGTGTGGTGGGGGGTGCATTTGGAAGACTACTGATGTTTAAGCACTAAAGCGGGGAGGGGAGGGGGGGGGGGGGGGTTGAAGGGTCAATCTGCCTCAGTTAGCTGTACCATGGCTTCCAAATCAGATGGTTGCGGGTTCAAAGACCATTGCCTCCTTGTCGGTATCAGTCGTTTGCACACTTTTTGTTTTGCCCAGCCGGGTGTCTGACACATGAGGAACCCCATCACCGTCGCTTAAGAGTATCCAAACCAAGCTGAGAATTCCATGCGTCCCACCTACACATGGAAATTCCAGAGATAGGTTGTTAGATTGAATGTGCGCTCTCTCTCTCTCTCGCTCGCTCGCTGGAGGGATGGATTCTGCTTACCTAAACTATCGCGCGGGTTGGCAAGAGCCAAGAATGTGCATTGGGGGTAACTTCTGGAGTCTAATCAGCTAAAACCGCATAGCTTGCCATTGATATGGCTGTCCGGCAAGCTTTCCCGCTGCTTGACCAGTTAGGACCACCTGACCTGTTAGCAGTTTGGCTGTTTTACATGCTTCTGACTTGAAACCCTTTTCTCTCTCTCTCTCTCTCTCACTCCCACATGCCCGCCCCCACTTGTCTTCCCTCTCTCTCCCCCGAAGATCCCGTCCACGGGCCGCAGAGCGTGGCGGTGGTGGACGTGCGGTCGCGGCAGCTGACCATCCACTGGGAGACGTTCGGCTATGCGGTGACTCGTTGCCACAGCTACAACCTGACGGTGCAATACAATTACGTGCTCGGACACCGGGAGTACACAGCCGTGGAGCTGATACAGACCTCGTCCCACTACACGCTGAGGGGGCTGCACCCCTACACCACTGTCAAGCTCTGCCTGGTGTTAGCCAACCCCGAGGGGAGGAAGGACAGCCCGACCATCGTCATTCAGACCGAAGAGGACGGTGAGTGATTGCTGTTGCCTGTGACGTCAAATTACAGTCGTGGGTCGTATTCCCAATCGCGGAGGATCTGGAGACGGGCTGCAAGGTCCATCTCAAGACTCTCTTGCTCAACCGTGCCTTCGATCACCTTCCTACAACCACCCTCCCTGCCTTTCCCACACCAGGTCCTGATCCCACCCCCCAGCTCGGGTCCAAATCCCTGACTGCCCAGCACCTTGGGACGTCTCCTCCCGATGCGAAAGGAGTTTTACAAATGTCATTCGTGGTTGTTGTTTCGTTTATTTTGTGGAATACCTTTCCTGCAAATGTGCTCATCGAGTCCGGATCAGTAGCACTATTTGAAAGGAAATTTGAGGAATACTTGAAGGAAAGTAATTGGTGATATTAATACTGTGTTAATAGTGTATCAAAGCAGATCAGCCTGAGCTCAAACTGACTCACGTGGGGGGGCTTGAACACACACAACCTTCTGAGTGTTATGGACTGAGTCAGGCCAACACACAGTTGGTTGACGGATCGACAAGCAGGTTTTCGGGAGAAAGAAATCTTAGCGGATTTTTGAACTCTCTGTTGTTCCAAAAGGCGCAATCGGTTTTGGTCTGAGGTTTTAAAAACTTTGTTCCGCAGCTCATTAACAAGCTGCATTTAAATACCCTAAGGCAGGTTACCTTTATAATGCCACTCTCCTCCCCTCCCCAACCCCTACCTGCTTTTAAATGATCATAATTTATTTTTGACAAAATACGCCACTTTGATCTCGAACAGCAAAGAGGCAAAATGTCACCTGTCTGATTGACGAGGTTGCTGTTGTTTTTTGATTTGTAGCTTGTGGCAGATTGATGGATGTAGCTCCAGTGAGTTAGCGATAGAAGCAGAGGCCCCCGAGGCTTTTGTGCACAATGCAAACAAAAATCTGCCGTGATTTTAGAAAGAGCAGACAGTCGTGTTGGAGAAATGGGCAGCCTTGCAGATTCATGTCAAGAGTGACTGCAGCAATGTGAAATCGAGGCAGATTAAAAAAAATCGCCTGCAAAATACACCGTCAATTCACTTTACAGTCTTTTCTGTGAAGCACTTTGAGACGTCTCGAAGACGTGATCAGGCACTATAACAAATGCAAGGATTATTATTTTATTATTAAGAAGAGCTGAAATTGTAGGTCAAAGTAACCTGGATCAGAACCGGTGAAAGTCAGCAGTGGCACATTACTGGAAACCAGGACAACAATTTGTGTTTGCACATTGCCCTTCACGCGGGCTAGCGTTTCAGAGCACTGAACAGTGACAGAATTTGACGCCAAGCCGGGGAGAAAGGGTTGAGTGAAGAGAAAAGTCTTCAGGGCGATTTGAAGATGGGTAAACAGGAGGCGAGGCAGACGATTGAGGCAGCGAGTTCCAGAGGTTTGGGGCGTAGTGGCTGAAGGCACAGTCACTGATGCTCATTGCTGAAACCAACAATAATTTTACTGCATGCCAAGAATAATAATCCTTACATTTGATGTAATGCCTTATCACATTGTTGAAAGGCTTCAAGGAACTTACAGTAAAGTGTAATGACTGTGTGTTTCATAGGCGAATTTGGCAGCCAATTTGCACACAGCAATGTCCTACAAACAGCCATTAATGAATAACTGATTTTATCTGGTAGATTGGGATCGTTAACATCCACCTGAACAGGGCCTCAGTTTGTTGTCTGATCTGTAGCACAGCACCTCTGACAAGCACTGCACTGGAGCTTCAGCCTCGACCACAAGCTCAAGGTCTCCAGACTCGGGGCTGGAACCCACTACTTTCAAACTCGGAGGCGAGACACCTTAGGACAAGACTCCAAGACTCAGTGAAAAGATCACTGTTTGTAGGAATCTGTGTGAGATACCCTCCTGTGTTTGCCTTTTCCACTGATTCCCTCAATACTGTGGGTTTCTATAATGTTGGTATATTTGTGAGCTGTCACAGTCTGTCCCACTATATTATGCAACCCATTTTTATATTGCCTTTTTGGAAGCACGGTCTTTCATCTTCCTGCGGTGTAGTGGAGCCTTGCAACCCAATCCATCTCCACTGTCAGTATTGGGGAATGAGCTGCAGGGCAAGAGATACCCTCAGTCTCTGCTCTCCAGGAGGTGACGTCTCTTGCTGGAGTGAAACACTTCACTTTGTAGCCAGGTCTGACAAAAGACCAAAAGACAGCCTGAACTTCAGGACTCAAACCACCCTGTAACAATGCAGATTGATTTTTATTTTATTTTATTTTAATAATAATGTTAAAAGGAAAATGCTCTCATCGTAGAGGAGCAAGGGAAATGAAATCCACGGTGCATATTAATTTAAAAGAAAACACAAGTCATGGTAGAACATTGCCTTCGACTGTTTTCCGAGATCTTTGACTAAGCCAAATGAAAGTGGGGGCGACACTCTCGTTTTGTTAACATCAAATGCTTTGAGACATATGTGAAAGGCACTGTGTAATCGTGAATTGTTTTGTAAGATCAGATTCCTTTTAAATAATAATATTCCCCGCATTTAAAGCAATCTTGTGTAATTGGTTATCAGGCAGGCATTATGATATTTTTTATGGTTTGAAACCTACTGTGACAATAATGTGCTTTACAGCAGAAACAGCAACGATTGATGTTTATGTAGCACCTTTCACGTCAGGCGGACACATTAAAGGGCTTGAGGCCCTGATGGGGAAACCAAGGAGGAAGAATGTGGCGGGTGGCTGTGATTGAAAACATGGTCGAGAGCGATGCAGACTCTCACATTTCCCGAGTTCTGAACAGCTGGACTTTTTTAAAAAGCAAACTTGTTTGGCTTCGTGCATTGATCGTAAACTTTCGTTATTTAAAGGAGAAACTCGGTTTCACCTCTGAGAGATTGACAACGACTGAGTAGTTATTTTCAACAGGCAGGCATCGCCCCAGGTCCCTGTTCAGTCAGAGCACTAGTTTTGCATACAATAAGATGGCATCTAATTACTGAATCCAGATACAGGCAGGCAATTAGATTGCAGCTCCCATCTCTCTGGCTTCTCTATGGTGTGGTTTGAACTCATATAGTCTCGGCTGACAATGCAGTGCTGGGTTGGCACCGCATTTGATACAGCACCTTTCACTTCGAGAGGACGTGTCACAGCTCTTCACAGCATATACTGTAAAGTGTAGTGACAGTGTTTGGAGAGGCGAGCACAGCAGTCAGTTTGCACACAACAACTTTCCAAAAACAGCCATGAAGCCAATTTTATCTGAAGGATTGCTGGCCAGAAGAGAAGCTCCCTTCTCTTTTCGACTAGCACCAACGTCCAACGACTAACGTCCACCTGAACAGACAGACAGGACCTCAGTTTAATGTCTCCTCTTGACTGATTGTTCTCTCATTGTTACATTCCAGTACCTGGTCTGGTGCCTTTGGAATCCATTGAGGGAGGACCCTTCGAGGAAAAGATCTATCTCCAGTGGAAGCCACCGAACGAGACCAATGGGATAATTACCCTCTATGAGGTAATGCAACTCATGGCTATCAATCCATCTTGTTCTAATGCTTGGCTATTGGAACAAGAAGATGCAGCAATTAACAAAAATATTTCTTGCCTTTCACATCAGGATAATGTCTCAAAGTACTTCATTATACATTGCAATGACTGTGTGCGTGTTGGAGGTGAACACAGCAGTCAGTCTGCGCACAGCAATGTCCCACACGAAATGGGAAAGCAGGGAGAGAGTTCCAGAAGTCTGGGGTGTGGTGTCTAAACTAAAAGCGCGGCTGCCAATGGTGGAGCGGAGGGGTCAAGGGATATGCAGAAGTTCCAGAGCCTGCCGAGCGGGTAGAGGAATGGGGTGTGAGCAGATTGGAGAGGTAGAGAAGTGCCAGAGTGTGAAAAGACAACAGGAAACAACAACAAATTAATAATAATAATAATAATCCTTGCATTTGATATAGCGCTTTTCACGTCGGGAGGATGTCCCAAAGCGCTTCACAGAACACACTGTAAAGTGAATTGACTATATATTTGTGGGCGAACGCGGCAGCCAATTGCACACAGCATTGTCCCACAAACAGTCGTAGATTGAAAATGACCAATTTATTATTGTTTTTGGTTTTGGAGGGATTATTATCATGCTGTGTGTGGAGTAAGGAAACTTGCCCAAGGTTTCGCCCTCTGCCTGGAATTGAATCCAGGTGTCTCGCTTGCAAAGCGAGTGCTCTAACCACTGAGCTACAGGACTCCACAAATTACATTTGTACAGCGCCTTTTACATCAGGAGGACGTCTTAAGGCGCTGGACAGTCAGGGATCTGCACCCAAGCTGGTGGTTGGGATCAGGAGGGGTGGGGTTGGGGAGGGTAGGGGTGGATGGGTGACCGAAGGCACGGTTGAAGAGGAGGGACTTGATAGAGGCAAGGGAGGGGGTGAAGCAGTGGGACTGTGGGATGCAGTTCCAGAGGGTGGGGGCAGAGAGGCTGAAAGATGAACCTAATGGTCAGCCAGCGCTGCAGTTTGGTTGCTAAGGTGGAGGAGTGAGGTCGATTCATGAAAAATGCATGATTTAGTGGCCTGTGACTCTAATTCCACTAATAAAAAAATCAAAAATAAATGTGTTGTGTTTTAGATTCAGGGGCCTTCACAAGGTTTGGAGAAGGGATGAATTTGAAATGTTATTTATTTGATTTTTCTCACAATTTCAGCAGGGTTAGGCAAGAATACTCCTTCAATCCATACATCAGCGGGAAAAGTAATGCAATAAAACAGTATTGACTTCAGACGAGGTTTAAATAAAAATGGTAATGAACGAGCAAATATGATTTAATATTCACTTAACTGTAAGTCGGCTTTAGTAAGTTATCTGTTGAAGGCTTTTTGTGTAGGCATGGAATTTTTCACAGCTTGTGCTCCAGGTGCTCTGAAATTTCCTCTCGTCTTAGCCTGTAAGACTGCCGCATTGTGGAGAATTTCTGTGAGAAAATCCTGCTCAGTGCTCAGGCAGGGCGAAAACTTACACAAGTTTCCTTATTCCACACGCCTGTCAGCTTTTTCTTTTAGTAGTTTTCTTTTCGGAATTCACACTCCAAACCATCTTCGTGTTTCTATTTGTTGATTTTGGCCTCATCTATTTATTGTCTATTTACTATATAATTCTAATATATAATGACATATTTATTATATAATTATCAATTGTGGTGCATGATTGGTTCCTGCATTTCGCCCACAAAATGTACAGCCAATTCACTTTACGGTATATTGTGTGAAGCGCTTCGAGACATTTGAATTAGGTGACAAGATACTATATCAAATGCAAGGATTATTATTATTAACTTAATTGTCTGGAAGCCAGTCTCTCTCAAAGAACTGCAGAGAACCGGGATCTAAATTAAGTCTGAATTGCCGATTTTCCCACAATTCTGCACCACCTTATATTTTAAGACAAATTGGTCTTTATTTATGGTCAACTGCATTTCTGGAACAGGCAAGAACCCAATACCATGCCCAAACCAGACTGAGATAATAACAATAATAATGTATAATAACAATAACAATGTATAACAATAATAATAATCCTTGCATTTGATATAGCACCTTATCACATCTTCGAGATGTCTCAAAGCGCTTTGCAGGATATACTGTAAAGTGAATTGATTGTATATTTTGTGGGTGAAATACAAAATATATACCACCTAAATATGGAAATTCCTGTGTGTCGGAATAGAATGGAATGCCCGCGATCTCTCCCTGAAGGGACATACCCTACTTATCGAAACCCGGAGAGTATTAGGCACAGGTCAGCAAGAACTGAGGATTGAGGACCTCGGGAGGGCAGGAGTGGGGTGGGGGGGCGGTGCAGGAACTGCTGGAGTTTAACCATCTGAAGCCGCATAGTTTGCCATTCTTAAATGTAGCCTTAATAAATTTTGAAGCCATTTTTTCTGTAAATTTCCTTTAACAACCGCAGAAAACCTGAGTGGAATTTCTCCTGACTTGACGATTGCCAATTCTCATTAAAAACCTGCCATTCACTGTCAGTTAGCAGTCGGCTGAGCAGATGCATAGATGCCCATGTGTTAATTGCTCCTGGACGCTACCCCGCGTAAAGGGCGCTATATAAATGCAAGTTGTTATTGCTATCAACCTCCAATCCCAGTCAGATTCGGGACAAGGAATTTTAAATCAGGGTTTCCCGCTCCTGTATCACTTTACCCCCAGCAGCGATCACAAATCTCACGGTAAACATGGGATTAAAATTCGGATGAAATGAGCTGGGTGTGTTAGAGGGAACATCGAGGCTTGCTGAAGGGCAAAATATTTAATCCTCAGTAGAAGTGGAAAATAGTGCTCTATCCAGAATAGCATTCAGTTTTTGGGGGGGTTTTTTGGTTTAAAAAATATTTTCTGTTGAACTCTATTCCTTGGACTCATCAATGACGGATGTGTACTTACTCTGGGCATCAAGATTCGAGTTCAGGTACAAACAGTACATTCCTGCCCAGATATAGTGTGTAATCTCACAAGTGTTAAAGCCATGAGTGGATTAAGAAGGCTTCAAGCACAAATGAAATAAAACTGGAATTTCGATTTTCATTCCATTTGTAGCACAGTTTTTTTTGTTAAAAAAAAGGACTTTTTTTTACATACTTCAGACCTGCACAATGTTACAAGATGTAGAAAGGTTCGAGTAAATTATACCTTTGCGTTCACTGCAAGATTAATTTCAGTAATTATTGGTGGAGATCACAAACAAGGCTGCTCATTCACAGCACTTCAGAAGAAGGTTTTTCAGAGTCCATTGAAGGAAAACTGATTGATAGCTGAAATGAGCATTATTCAGCTGTGTGTTGTTTTCCTGCACAGATGTCCCAACTTTTTAAAATCAACACGATGCGAATCTTAAACCAACATGTGTTTCAGTTCAGAAAAGCGCAATCCATAATAGTCTCGCACGCCTGTCTGCCTGGAGACTGCATGATTGAAGCCTTCACTCAATCCTCAATTGTGTGTCAGCCTGGCCCAGTGGTAGCACTCTCACCTCCGAGTCAGAAGGTTACGGGCTCAAGCCCCAGGTTGGGACTTGGAATCACATACTCTGAGATGAAGCTCCAATGCATTGCTGGGGGGGTGTTGCTGCATTGTCAGAGATGCCGTCCTTCGAATGAGATGTTAAACCAAGGTCCCTTCTGCCTGTTCGAGTGGATGTTAAAGATTCCACGGCACTATTCGAAAAGAGAAGGGAGGTGTCCGGGCCAACAATCCCCCAAATAAAATTGGTCACTCACTTCATGGCTGTTTGTGGGACACTGCCGTGCACGACTGTGCCACATTTCACTCACAAAATACACAGTCAATCCACTTTACAGTATATCCTGTGAAGCGTTTTGAGACACTTCGACGACATGACAAGGCGCTATATCAAATGCAAGGATTATTATTATTATTATTGTTAGTGCTGTTTTTAGCAAGGGACAAAAACTTGTTACGTGTTTTATTGTGAGAAACAGAGGTAAAATACTTTTAAAATTCTCCGTGTTCTTGGAGAATAATAATATGGGCACATCAATATTTCATACATAGCTTCCTTGTAAAATATCCTCTAATTTGTACATTCGGTTAGGTTTTATCCCTGCTATCAGCTTGACTTGTTTGACATTCAATTCCGGTTGTTGACATTCTGGCAAGGATCACTGCAATGGAACATTTCCAAACGCCCTCAGAACTTTCTCATTCACTACTTTCATTACTTTTATATCTCTTGCCTCACAAGTGTGGACAGAAATATAAAAACATTTTCAGTTACGTGCCTTTCAGAGCATTTTATTCTGAAGTGTATTGCAGCTCAATATGATGGCTCCTTTGGTGACTGTTCTATTATCGCAATTTGCAAAGTAGTTTTGTCAGAAAGAAATGGAGCTCAAGGTTTCAAACTCAACCACAAGGTAACCCATAAAGATGAGTGAATATACACCACACAACTTCATGGCTGTTTATGGGATATAATAGTGCACTACTCGACTGCCCCATTCGTGTACAAAATACACAGTCACTACACTTTACAGTAAAACCCTGCAAAGTGCTTTGAGACGTCGTCGCGACCCGAAAAAGTGCTATTATCAAATAACAATAATAATCCTTGCATTTGATATAGCACCTTATCACATTTTCGAGACGTCTCAAAGCACTTCACAGAATATACTGTAAAGTGAATTGACTGCATATTTTGTGGGTGAAACGTGGCAGCCAATTGCGCATAGTCATGGATTGAGTATATATATTTTTTGAAAGAATTATTATCCCAGGAAAGGTGATCCACCAATCAACTAACAACCGGGTTCCTACTTACTGCTCGGTAAACAGAGGCGTGTGAGGCGTGTGGAGTAAAGAAACCTGCCCAATGTTTCGCCCTGCTGGGAATCAAACCCAGATCTCTCACTTGTGAAGCATGTGCTCTAACCACTGAGCTACAGGACTCCACTCCAAATGATAGGAATCTTATTTCGATCCTAGCGCACTGTTATTACAACACTTGCTGCATAACATTTTCACCCACAAAATAAACAGTCAATTCACTTTGCAGTGTATTCTGTGAAGCACTTTGAGAATTCTCGAAGACGTGATTAGGCGCTATATCAAATGCAAGGAATATTATTATTATTTTGCTTTGCGGTAAAAGCAGGTAGGTCAGCACCAAATGGCAGCGATTTAAAAAAACAATGACTGAGGATTGTTTGAAGACTTTGTGTACTGAAGCGTGAGATCTGCTGAGCACACAAAGCCTTGAGTTCAGTTGTTTTCCAGGAGGTAGAAATTGGAATTCGGGAACTACATCACAAAGAATTCAAAAGGTGCTATGTTTTCATAAATTAATGTATTCATAGTCTTTTACCAGGAGGAAGGAAACTTGTAGTAAGCCATGGTTCGGAAATTTAAGTTATAATATCTTGACAGCTCATTTGAAATTACATTCTTATGAATGGGTTCAAAGAGTAACTAGTACAAAGACAATCCAGTGTTAAATAAATCATCAGTCGTGTCTCAGAATGGCTGTGTGTTCGAGAGCTTGATGTGAATGGCAATTGTAATGGATTCATCCAGCAAGAGATGTGTTGCTCTGCACACACCAAGGACCTGATAGAAATAACAGAGTTGATTTCAGTACATCAGAAAAGTACACATGCCCTGGTCACAGTATAGAATTTGTGTTTGTTTATTCTGCTCTCGGTATCAATGGCTTTCATTTACTTGCAGATATCGTACAAAGCCGCTGGCTCCTTTGACCCGAATGTGGATCTTTCAAGTCAACGAGGGAGGGTGTTCAAATTACGGAATGAAACACACCATTTGTTTGTTGGCCTGTACCCGGGAACCACCTACTCTTTCACTATCAGAACGAGCACGGTGAAGGGATTTGGGCTCCCTGTTACTGCTCGTATCACCACCAAAATCTCAGGTACAGCAACTTGTTCTTTGAGTGGCATAACATCTCGGAGCACTTCACAGGGATGGGGTTGAATGTTGAGCAAAGTGAAGGGGCGGGGAAGGGTTTGAATCATAGAATCATAGAGTTATACAGCACAGAGGAGACAATTTGGCCCATCGTGTCCGTGCTGGCTCTTTGAAAGAGCCGTTCAAATTAACCCCACTCCCCTGCGCTCTCCCCATAGCCCTGCAGATTTATCCTCCCCAAATATTTATCTAGGCAGGTTTTGAGGTGGAACTGAAAGAGAGAGAGAGAGAAAGGGGGGCAATACAAATTGGTGGTGGTGGTATGTGGGGGGGGCAGAGTTTCAGATGTTAAGCATGCAGGAAGTGAAGGTACAATCTCAGCCATTCAATTCCACCCATCAAGTAGGTGGTCGCGGTCTCACAAGTTAGCAAATGCCAAGAGCTTCCGCCCGGTGAGATATAGTTCAGGCGGATCACGGGATAAATCACTCAGAGCTCAAGTTCACTTTTGAGTGAGCCAGCACCTCGGTTTCAGCGTTCTTCCGAAGCACACGACTTGCATTAAACAGCACGAGAACAGGAATAAATCTGCAGAGCTGAGGATGTTGATTAAGGACCTCGCCATGGGTGCCCTTCACATGCCATAGGTTGGTTGTTGTGGTTGACAAACCCAAAAGGAAATCGTATTAACCTGCCCTTTTGAAGACTGCAGCAGAGAGAACACCTCTGACCCCCTTCTCCTGTATAATAGATGTGGCTGACACACAGCATGTAAGAGCAGTCGTTTGTACCTTCGGCTCTGATTCACTGATTATTGCTGTTGGGTGCTGTAGGCATAATGGCCCCAGAGTTATTAAAAGCAGTCTAATCAGAGTAGTTTTTGTTGTACGTTGAGGGCACATTTCGTGCTGTACTTGTATTGCAGTCATTAATCACACCTTTGCCCATGTAAAAGGGTGGTTTAATTTCCCCCCTCTCACCCTCTCACTCCCCTTCCAGTGCCGCTAAAGGCAATAGCTACCATCGCTGCATGCAAATTGGCTGCCACGTTCACCTGCAAATACACAGTTACTGCACTTTACAGTAAAATCCTGCAGAGTGCTTGAGACGCCCTCCCCACCTGAAAGGTGCTGTATCAAATGTAAGGATTAATATTATTATTATTATATTATTATGACCACATCTCAGTGGGTTTCCTTCCCACCTCTGAGAGCAAAAGGGCCGAAGTCAAGAAGCTGATGGACCACATTTTATCATTGAGGCGTTTGCCTAAAACAGTGGCTGAAGTTTATGGTAAAATGCTGTGAAGTGCTTTTGAGACGTCTCAATGACGTGCCAAGGCCAGAGAATCCACCAGTGACCTCTCAGTGAGTGGGAGAGCAGGCGATGAAGTAATGATGGAGCAGAATCATGCCTTTCACCCACAAAATACACAGTCAATCTGCTCCACAATATATTCTGTGAAGCGCTCTGAGATATCTCAATGACAACAACAGCCTGCATTTATATAGCACTCCTCACGCAGGGTATCATCCCTGTGACATGATAATGCGCTATAACAATTGCAAGAGTTATTATTATTAACAGTCAAGGGCTCGATGGGCTCATCTCCATAAGCACAAGGCTTATCTCAATCCACAGTAAACCAAGGAACAAGAGGAGAAGCTGCATTGTTAAAAGGGAGAGGTGCTTTTTGGCAGACTGTCACTGTAAAATATGGATGCCGTGACTCCAAGGCTTCATTGAAGATACGGTTGCTATTGTGATGCAGTAGAAAATGAGGTTGCCGTTGCTTCCTCATGCATACCAGGCATCTCAAGAAGCAACACAGGAACACGTTAAAAGTGATATCAGTCCCAGTGATCACCCGTGAGATCATCTTTGCTTTGCCTCAAATTAATAGGTACGTATTTTTACCACCTTTGCACAGTGAGAGAGCAAAGATCCCATATGAGACCAGCAGGGCAGGCCGTTTATATCAAGGTGTTGCCGCGTCAATCTCACCTCAGCATTGAAGTGGGTTTCACTGGATGCCTGCCTGTCAGTTGTGGCAATTGCCTGAGTCTGCGAGGGCTGAAGAGGCATATTCCCATCCAGACAACTAATTATCCGGAGTCTCCATAAAAGCCAAACTTTGAAACGTCAAGTGCGAAGTGATTCCTTCTGTCTCGGCAGGACTAGTTTAAATCCTGGAAGAGCTGTAATTCCTTAACAAGGAGAGAATAACTAGGGGACCTGCTACAAGCATATGTCTATTTGTCTATTCAATGTGAGTCTCTCAGGTTCAGATTTAACAATAATAATAATAATAATCCTTGCATTTGATATAGCCTTATCACGTCATTGAGATGCCTCAAAGCGCTTCACAGAATGTACTGTAAAGTGTGTATTTTGTGGACAAAACACGTCAGACAATTGCGAACAGCAGTGTCCCACAAATAGTCGTGCAGTGACCAAATCATTATTTTAAAGGGATTATTACTCCCGGAAAGCAATCCACCAATCGACTAACAACAGGGATCCTATTTACTGCTAGGTTAAACAGAGGTTTGTGGAGTAAGGAAACTTGCCTAACGTTTTGCCCTGCCGGGAATCGAGCCCTAGTCCCCTCGTTTGCGAGGCGAGTACTCTAACCACTGCGCTACAGCACTCCACTTGTAGAACAGTGCACAACCAGGCTCCGGCATTGGGATATACATTTATTACTCAGTGAATTCTGTTGTATATATGATCCCTTCTTGAAAAAGGGAACGATTCATTTCCATCTGGACACAATATATTATTGTGGGAATCTTTAGCATGCATTAAAGAACAAGCGAGTGATCAGCCAAAAATACAGCCGACAGCACAAGAAGAAGCTATTTATCCCCATCAAGCCGAAGAGCTTACTGGGAGCAGCGATTCTTCTCAATCATCTCCTGTTAACCCGGCAAGCCAAAGCCCTAATGGATAGGGTGGTCCTAGCTAGACATGTAGGGAAACTTGCCAGACAATGCTCTCAATGGCAAGCTAGGCAGTGTTAGCTATGAACAATGGTTCCCTGGTGCCCACCTTAAGTCACATTTAATCCTAACAACCCGAGAAGGAAAGAAAGTCACCCATTTCTGACTCATTGGTCACAATTGCAAATTTAGACAGAAAAAAAAATTGGTGTTTAATTTCCATCAATTCTGTATTGCTTGAGGACATTACAACATTGCTATGGGTAAGGCCAGTCTTTGAGCAAAACCTGTTCAAGTGTTGAATGGCATGTGTCTCAAGACTCTCCTCTTCAACCATGTCCTCCCGACGTGAAAGACCCTATACAAATGTAATCTGTTGTTGTTGCCCATAGAAAGTATGGCTCATGTCACACTAGTAATGTCTTTTGTGACACCGTGAAGGTTCTTCATGATTGAATCTTTCTCTTTCTCGCCCCTCATGCCAGTTGCTGTTAGTTGCAGCGTATGATATTCAATGGCAATGATAAATGGTGATACAGGGTGGGAGTTGATGAGTACATGACACGCAGAGAATCATTTATTTAATTATTGCAAGGCACTGGATACCAATGGCAGGGTTAAGAAATAAAGTTCAACTAACTGGAAAAGATTGATTGTTTTCACGATGAAATTAATTGAATGTGGAGGTTGTTGTGTTTTTTCTTTTTGTGCGGATTCATCTGTTTGGACAAAATTGAGGCCAAGACAATTTGTGTCACTCTGCTCCTTGCTAATCAACATCAAGCTTTTATTACTTGTCCTGGGCTCAATTTGGGTTTGTTGCTTAATGAAAGTTAGTGCATCAATTACTTAGGTTTGCTCAGCTTTAGAAAGGACAAATGTTCCAGGTTTTTGAGTGATCAAGGGAAAAAGTGAAAAATCAATCACCAATTAATGTGAAGATCTCCCACCACCCCCCACACACACACTTTACGCAGGACTTGGAAAGATCCCAGTCAGATATCCGCCTTGTATAGTCAGATGTATATTTGATAATAAATAATCATTGTTGCATTCAATATTGATGCTGTGATGGGAGGATGCTGGAAGGATGAGAACAACAACAGCAACAAAATTACATTTGTATAGCGCGTTTCACATTGAGAGGACGTCCCAAGGCACTGGATAGTCAGATGTCCAAATGGGAACATTTAAATTCAAATGGGCCAAAGAGTCTTCTCACCCAAACTGATCTTGTGACCAACAAAAACTTACATAGAACCTACAGAATCTAAGCAGGACACACGGCCTAACTAGGATATACGGCCAGTGATTACAGTCCACTCAAGCCCCACCCATCCTAATCTCCCCTCCCAGGCTCCCCACACCCGTTTATTCCCTTCGCTCATGTGTAATAATAATAATAATACTTGCATTTGATATAGTGCTTTTCACATTTTCTAGATGTCTCAAAGCGTCTCACAGAATAGACTGTAAAGTGAATTGACTGTATATTTGTGGGCAAAACGCGGCAGCCAATTGCGCACAGCAGCGTCCCACAAACAGTCGTGAATTGAGTGACCAAATTGTTATTGCTTTTTTTTCTTGAGGGATTAATATCAAGCGTGTAAAGTAAGGAAACTTGCCCAAGGTTTCACCCTGCCGGGAATCAAATCCAGGGCTCTTGTTTGCGAGGCTAGTGCTCTAACCACCGAGCTACAGGACTCCAAATCCATCCGTAAACATCGAGTTTTCTCTTAAACGCAGTTGCATGTTACCACAAAGAGGTGATTTTAGCCCAGAAGTGGAACAACTTGGGTTGAATAAATTGAAAAGAGTCCAATTGAAGTTACAATGAGTTACAAATTCAATTTGGCACTCATTTCCATCAAGCGCTAACGTGTCTTACACTTTAGGGAAGCATCTTATCCAAAGTTTATGAGCTGTCAATGGCTAATTGAATCATTAGGGGAGAAGTGAGAACACTGCCCGGATTGCTTTAATTGAACTGATATTACATTCTCTCAAATGTTTAATCGTCACTTAAAGGTAGCAGAGAGCTGTTGAAAGGCTTGAATAATAGCAGCAAGGCACGACTTTGTTTTTGTACTACATTGGCCACTTTAACCTTGGGCCTGACAAAACAGATTCATTCTTTATCAACTGATAAATAGTCCCAAAGTACTTTTGGACTTTACAGAGTAAGCCACACAATTAATATATTGAAAGCAAGCATCTGATATTGCGTGGGTGAGTTATGGTTTATGTATTGCGGTTCTTGATAAGATAGGGCTCTGTAGCCCTGAAATGAGATGTCTTGGAGAGGACTTTTCTAGAGGTACATAAGGCGCTGGCTAAATTGAAAAGAGAAAGTAAGCCGAGAGTCGTGCTTCCAAACATGTCAAGGGAGCGAGAGTAGAGAGCACAGACCCGGGGGTGTGAAGGGCAATCTGAGGACAGACACCGGGAAATACTTCTATCCATTCAGGGTAATTAACTACTGGAGTGTGATTACTAGGCAGGGTGGTTGAGGTCAGGATGCTGAACTACTACCAAAGAGTTTAATACTGCAATGAGAATACAATAGGATGGGGATTGTGAAAGCATGAGAACCAATGCTTTGAAGGGCTTTCTTTCTTCATGCACATCTCTCTTTTCAACCCGCAACTTCTCCTCCTTGCTGTTCTCTTCTGCGTCAGCCTGTCTCAATCAGTGCAAGCCTCACATGGGACTTTGAACTCACATGGTCTAGCCTGACACTCCAGTGCAGTGCTGGGGGAGTGAAACAATTGAATTTGTGCTAACCTACCCCCTCGCCACTGTTTGTTGATAATTAATGTTACTTTCCCTCTGTGTAGCTCCCTCAATGCCGGGTTACAATACAGAAGCTCCATTGAATGAGACGGACACGACCATCACGGTACTGCTGAAGCCAGCTCAGTCCAGAGGAGCCCCAATCAGGTAGGAAAAAAACATCATCTTTGAAAATAATCATAGCTCAAAATATCAACGGGAATACCTACAACTGCGAAAAATTTCATTCCACATTTAGTTGTCTTAATTGCGAACGTATTTGTCTCTTGTGAACCGAAGAGGCAAATTCCCAGAACATGGAAATGCATCAGGATTCATCTTTAAGCTGGTTTGGCATTCAAGGTCTTTGGGTTTGTAGATTAGTGTGGATGTTATCAGGCATGAGGGGAAACATCTACCAAGAACGATTGGTCAGGTTTCTCTCTGCAATTGAGACGATCGAGAGGGGACCTGATAGAGGGCTTTAAGATTATGAAAGGCTTCGATAAGGCTGGACTTTAATATTCAGTTTCAATTTGTTGGTGAGTCTAAAAACGGGAAGGCGTAAATGTACGATTAACGGATTTCAACTAATAATCTATGACGGATTTTGCAGATAAATTACCCGATAAAAGTGTAACGTATTTATTTAGTAAAACTTATTCATTTTAATAAGTTGTTATTTTATTTATTTTAATCCAATAAATGAAATAGCAAATAAATAAAAATTAAGGAAAAGGTAGCCGACGACAGTGGGGCATTGTGTCTATCATAAAATTACAGCAAAATCGTTTTGAAATGACATCATGAACAATTTCTTCCCACAACCTGTGAGACAGTGGAAATCACTGTTACTGTCCTAAGAGGCTGGTGCAGACAGGATCGATAAGAATGTTTGAAAGAGAAATGGATGGATACTCGGTAAATAAGGATAATAAGAGATATAGGAAAAGGCAGGGAAATAAAAGATGATCTAATCAATGTTGGAACAAACTCAAGGCCCCTTGTCCCTATCTCTCCTGGGTTTCCATTGTTGTTCAACCGCGATTTCCAAGAAACGTCAACCTTAAGTCAAAGCATAAATGGGGTCTGGTGTTTTCCTGAGAAGGCATGAATTCACGTGGATTCCTGTTATGGCTTTAGTCAGAAGCTCTTGTTGGAGTTGAGCTGAGGTTTTTTTTTGTTTGTTTGGCCGTTCATCGTGCATCAACCCAGGGCCACAAAAAAAGCCTTAAATTTGACATGAGGATAATGCTCTGTAAGTCGCTTGATATTGTGCTATGGTTTACAGCACTGCTAAAAATTGCGAGCAGTCTGTCACAATATTTCCTATTTTATAACCAGAATTGGTGACCCATCTTCTTGGTGTGGACTCGGGTTTACTGCACATATATGCTGCTGTTAGATATCGAGCTGACTTTTGCACCGTTTTCAGTGAGTTACGGGCATCTTCTCAAATCTGAGTTAATGGCAGAGGCATGGAAAAGGCATCAAAACATTAGTGGATCCAATGTGCACATGTAAGTTTATGTGGTGAGCAATCATTACTTTGCATGGCAGGTCCTTTTGTTCCTCACAGCTGATGTGAGCCTGACTCAGTTGGTAGCACTCTTGCCTCTGAGTCAGAGGTTTATGGGTTTCACCGTGAGTTTAGATGTACAAACAGAGGGATTTTTAGGATTCCCAGGCTGCACTTTCCTAATCCCGGGGTGGTTATTTCGACGCCATGCCTGGGATGCTATCGCAACAACTGTTTCTTTGTTAGTTCATCGGTGGATAGGAAACAGCAGCAAGCTTGGCTGTGTACAACGCACTTGTTCCCAACGATCTCTTGAGGTGATACAAGACAGGACAATTTATTTTTGCACAGCTCTTAACACGTTGGAAGGACGTCTCAAAAGCGCTTCACGCAGCTGGCTGGGCACCCGAGCTGGGGGTGGAATCGATTGGTGGTATTTTCCCCCACAAAATACACAGTGAATCCACTTTACAATATAACCTGTAAAGCGCTGTGAGCCGTCTCAACGGTGACATAAGGCGCTATACCAAATGCAAGGATGATTATTATCACGACCGAAAACATCTTCAAATAGGTACATTTTAAGACGCTGCCACGTGACTGTTTAATTTACAGTCTGCAAAAGCTCCTTATTCGTTTATTTAGTGTTTGCTTGAAGAAAAAAGTTGAATTACACAAGAAAAGTGTGATTCAGCAATTTGTTTGCACACCTTTTCTGACATTGGGTTACCATTGCCGTTGTATTTGGGTAACATGTTGTCTTTTCACAAACCTACGCCATTAATTTTCTACAATTGTCACTTAAGCGCTGACAATTATTTTCTCTTTGACGTTAAGAAAGCTGCTTATATTTCTACCCTCCTGGGGCCTATTGGCCACTGTTGTTGGCATATAATTCAGTCACAGCAACTTTTTATGTGGCTTTTAGTGCCATTAACATCTGTTATGGATATTTATTATGTCAGAGTAGAATTTTTGCCAAATCGTTGCTCATCAATTGAATTGAAATGACAGATGGTGCAAAAAGCTGGTGTAGCGTTAAGCTTTGCTGACCGTTTCAAATATTGCACCAGTTAAGTGGCATTGAGCGGCCTGATGGCACTTAAAGCCACAAAAAGCCGCATGTGTCAGACACCCGGCTGGCCCCCCAAAAAATCATGGCATCTCAAAGCGAGTCATGGAATTTACTGTCAATTGTAGTGACTGTGTACTTTGTAGGCGATCACAGCAACCAATTTGCATACAACAACAACTTGCGTTTGTAGAGCGCCCTCCACGCCAGGCGACGTCTCAGAGCGCTTAACAATGGCGGAGCCCGAGGCCGAGCCAGGGGGAGGAGGAAGGTGACCTTAGGTGCGATCGAAGAGGAAAGTCTTTCAGACGCAACCTGAAGATGAGGAAGGAGGGGCCAAGGTGAAGGGGTTGAGGGAGGGAATTCCAACGTTTCGAGATAAAGTGGCTGAAGGCATGGCCACTGATGGTGGAGCGGAGGATTTGGAGGACGCGGAGGAGACCAGACCCAGTAGAACGGAGGCAGCAGGTACTGCTGTGAGGATAGAGGAGGTTAGAGAGATAGGGGGTTGCCAAGGAGTGGAAGGATTTAAACTCTAGAGTGAGGATCTTGAAGTTGATCCGCTCTGTGACAGGGAGCCAGTGGAGTTTGGGAAGGACTGGGGTAATCGGGGTACGGAGTTTGATGCGGGTGAGAATGCGGGCAACGTATTTTTGAATGAGCTGGATTTAGTGAATAGTGGAGGAGGGGAGACCAGCGAGGATGGTGCTAGAGTAGTCCAGCCGAGAGGTGACAAAAGCATGGACAAGGGTTTCGGCAGCTTTTGGGGTGAGGTATTGTCGGAGACAGGCAATGTGGCGGAGGTGGAAGGAAGCGGTGCTGGTCAGGGACCGGATGTGGGGGAGGAAGGATAACTGGGGATCGAACCTGAAGCCAAAGAGCATGGCTTCTGTCTTGTTGATGTTTAACTGCAGGCAATTTGCACTCATCCAGCTCCTGTTGTCCGACAGACAAGCTGACAGAACATCACACTGTGATGTCCTACAAACAGCCATGAAGTGAAGAATCAATTTTATTTGGGGGATTTTGGGCTAGGACACTGGGAAACTCACTATTCCTTTCGAGCCATGGGATCTTTAAGACCCACCTGAACAGGCAGACGGAAACTCAGTTTAACATCTCATTCAAAAGGTGTCACCTCCAACGATGCAGCGCTCCCTTCCCCCACTCCCTACCACCCCCGGCACTACATTGGAGCGTTAGCCTAGATTGGGGTGCATCGAGACCGGCACTTTGTCCTTTAAACTTGGTAATTGATTTCTTCCTTTCAGGCTGAGCGATTGCCATCTTATTCCTCACAGTAAGGAAATGACACAATCCAAGTATGAATCCTGTACAACTGTTATCAAGTATTTGGTGAAATTACTATACACAATTTTTGGCAAGACTCTAAACTGCGTCATCTTTGTTCTAACTCTCAACTCTCTACCCTATTGTCATTGCTTCATTTGATGAGGAAAAACCAGACGTTTTCCTAAACCTTGCAATTGATGCAGCGCCTTATCACGCCATTGAAATGCCTCAAAGCACTTCTTTCACAGGATTTACTGTACTGAAGTGTAGTGACTGCAAGCAAACGCAACAGCTAATCTGCGCATAACAACTCTTTGCACAGTGTGTGTTCTGCTGCCCCAACAGAAGAGCAGTTTCTTTGTCCTTTTAACATTCCATTTAAGTCTGATTGCAGATCTACGCTTTGGTTTTTTTTTGTCCGCAGTTTTTAAGGCAAAGAGATTCTTGAGTTTCAGCACATTTGCTGGAATGAAAATCGAGGAGGAAAAAAAAAAGAAAATTCGGAGTAATCTGTTTCCCTCCCTGTAAATTGCACGTCTAGAAGGAGAAAGATTAATTGATCCCGGGCATCAGTGAGTGACATGGGCTTAAATGACCAATAAAGTGTAGCTTTTCTCGTCTCGCGAGTTGACGCAAGATTTTGACAATGACCCAGCAAATAGTAATGACATTTAAATGAAATATTCTGCTTCTTTCGGGGTGCTCTGGGAGTCTCTCTCTCCCTCTCTCTCTCTCTCTCGCTCTCTCTCTAGCGATGGTAAATATCTCCCTGATTGCTCCTGAGCTGATGATCCAGCCTGCACTGCAAAAAAATATGGAAATGAAACGGGAAAGAAAATGACCTGACATCAAGAGGGACTGTGTAGATGAAATCTGTCTACTTAAGGCTTACACGAGGCTCGCAGATTGTTCAATGGGTGAAGTAGAAAGGCAAAAACAAAGTGTACCATCACAGTCTGACCTTCAGCTATGATTTTCATATTCTTATGCTATCACTTGGGTGTTTTATTTCTCTCTCTCTCGCGCTCCCTCTCTCTGTCTCTATCTGACTCTCTCGCTCTCTCTCGCATGCTCTCTCTTCATAGGTCTCTGAATGTATTTCCAATAAAGTAAAAAAATATTAAAAATCCATGTTTAGTACGATAGAAATAAGGGAATGGTTAATTTTTTCATTGTAGCTGCTGTGTTTTCTCCGAGGAATAACACAGCCTCTGTACTTTACATTAAATCCCTTCAAGCGCTTTGAGCAGTCCTCCTCAGGCGAAAGACACTCTGGCAGATGCG